TATGAAAAATATTGTATTAAAAGGAATGTATTCATAATGTGTGCACTTATTTATCTAGCCCTTTGCTCATACCTTTATCACTGATCAGAAACCTTTTATGTTTTGCCCTAAAATAAGAAAGTTTGGCATGGGAATATTTTTTCATGAAGATACACATTATTAAGTTCAAGCTGTTAGAAAGCTTCACCATGTGTCTTATGCCCTCATTTCTGACTTACTTTGATGGCGAGGAAAGACCCCTTGATGTTGGTGGTGTTGATGGAGAACTCTGCCAGGCCATGCTGATCAGAGGTAGTGACATTGGTGTAGTCAAGTTCATGTGCTTTGATGAAGATTTGCTCATTCGGCATGGGAGCTCCTTTGATATCCACTAGGCGGACCTAAATTGAACAAGGAAGAAAACTATAGTGTAGGTATGATGATACCATACAGAATAGAAGAGAAAAACTTGTTTCAATATTATATAAAGATCTGAAAAGATGCACCAACTAATTAAGCATGGAAAAAATTATTTTTACAAACATCTAACACTTTAAAATCTACACCAGTAGGACTGGCTGTGTTGTAAAGCCAGAGGCTGAAGGTGTCATGTTCTTAATATGACTCCATAATAGATGCTTCATACTTAGCTGTTATTCACAAGAAACCATCGAAGAATTCATCGTGTGAAGTAAGGGAGGCAGATGCACTGACACAGGCAAAATGAAATCTAGCGAGGACACTGAGGCTAACGGAGAGTGGGGTTGGTTATGAATATGTAGCATATCTTGCTTCATTGTTGAAACAATGACATTTTAGGGTTTAAGGTTTTCAAGGACAGTAGTCATAAATAAAAAATTTGCTCCTTATGCTTTATGTTTGGGGATTCTTTTTTTTTTAATTTTGTTTTTTTGGGTTTTTTATTTTTGATTTTTTATTTAAAGATTTATTTATTTATTTATTATGTATACAGTGAGTTCTGCCTGCAGGCCAGAAGAGGGCACCAGATCTCGTTACAGACGGTTGTGAGCCACCATGTGGTTGCTGGGAATTGAACTCAGGACCTCTGGAAGAGCAAGCAGTGCTCTTAACCTCTGAGCCATCTCTCCAGCCCAGGTTTGGGGCTTCTTGATAACTTATAACATTGTAACTTGATAACATATTATGCCACTATGCTAAATTCTTGTACTGGAACCACTGATATTAGACAAGTTTAACACTGAGCAGAATGGCCTAGGTTGAGGTATCACAATACAGCCCAACCACTTATGAATCAAAAAGTACCTTACTTTCACTACGAATGGAATCCCGCGTTTAAAGTGTGAATCTACTTTCACAAATATGAGTTTGGTTGTGGTTCTTTTAATTTTAGTTGTTCCAGATCCCATGAACTCGAATCCTGGAAAAGAAATTAGCAACAACATTGAAAGCCCAAGACAGTTATTGAAGAATTGCTTGTTTTCTACATCCTTTTTCTGTACTGTTCAAACCACCACTGACATAAACA